GTTCGGACCATGCGGATGCACCTGTTCACTGCCTTGCAGTTGCTCTGCTTGGCCCTGCTCTGGGCGGTCATGTCCACAGCTGCCTCCCTGGCCTTCCCCTTCATCCTCATCCTCACAGTGCCCTTGCGCATGGTGGTACTTACCCGCATCTTCACCGAGAGAGAAATGAAATGTGTAAGCACCCCTGCCCCTCTGTCCCTCCAGTCCTCTCTCCCACGACTCTGTAAAGGCCAACCCTTCCATTCCTCTCACAGCTGGATGCTAATGAGGCGGAGCCAGTGTTTGATGAGCGTGAAGGTGTGGATGAGTACAACGAGATGCCCATGCCTGTGTAGCTGCTGTCCAGATGGCATAGCAGAGGGACTAACGGGCAGGGGCTGGGGGCTGGGGCTCCCCTTCTCCTGCCCCTCCCCATTTTTATTTAAGTGAATAATTTAAAGCCCCCTTCTCCCCACCTTGCAGTAAAGTGCTTCAACCCCAACCTAGGCTTAGTCTTCTTTGTTGGTAGGGGGTCATGAATGGAAAGGGGTGGGGCCCAGCCCTGTTCCTTGTCCCAGAAATGAGACTCACCATGGGGAAAGGAAAGGGATTTTAATGAAAATAAAATAAAAAACAGGGAGTCAAAGTGCAAATTGTCCACCCTCCTCCCCATAGGGGATCCATCCTGAGCCCCATTATGTACTCCCTCATCCCCCTTCAGGTCCCCAGCGGAGGCCTAAGGCCTGAAGCTTTTGCCTCAGGTAGTTCTTGAGCTGGGGCAGGCCTCTCTGAGATTCCAGTTCTTCAAATGGCAGCTGTGGAGAGAAGACAGGTTACAGTGCAGTGGGTTGGCTTTAAGAGCACACATGGGTGGCATGGGACAGGACTTCTCACCGGCAGGAGTTGGTAGCCCATCAGGCCCAGGTGCCGCTCCCTCAGCGCCCGAGAGCCCAGCAGCACCCTGCCATCACGGCAGAAATGCCAGCGTTCTCGAAGCATCAGCACCACCCTGGAGAGGGGTGGACTCGGTTCAGGTTGCTATTGGACCAGCAGCCAAGCTTTCCCAACCCTGTTTCCTTTTCCTTACCTTTGAGTAGGGTCTTGGGTTGTGGGGTTAAAGTTAGCCTGCTCCTCTTGGCAGGACCGAGGTGGGTAGGGCAGGAAGGGGTCTTGCGACCTCACAGGTAGCACAGCACCAGAATTACCCACACAGAGCAGAAAGTCTGCAGGACAGATATGCCTTAGCCTTGTTCCAGCTCAGGCTGTTGGCCACCCACACCATTCACACCTCACCTGTGCAGTAGCCTGGAGGTACAGTCAGGTCCTGCCGGTATTTTTCTTCCCCTAGCAGCTGGCGCAGCCCCTCAGCTACTATGTCCTTGTGACTAAGGGGAAAGGACAGCCGTTGAGGGATGGACCCTCTATTTGCTGAGCACTGCCTCCCTGTAAAGCCCCTCTACCACCTCAAGGCTATTCTATTAGGAAACATTGGCTCTGGCTTTCCTACTCCTGTGGCTGCCATTCCCCCTGGCCCACCTGTATTTGCAGCGGGCACGGTCAGTGATGAGGGGCTGTGGGAAGATGGGCACTCGCTGCCTTTGGGGAAGGCGGAGGCCTTGGTACCCTGGGAGTTCAAGCTCCACAGCCGTGTCGAGTAGAGAGAGGTAGCGTCGCACAATCAAAGAAGGAGGGGTGCCTGTGGGGAAGCAGGGACTGGGGGACACTGGGCCGCTGACACCTGGGCATGCCTCTGCTCTCCAGCCTTTGGCCCCACCACTCATTTTGTTGCATACCATTGATGTGGTTGATGAAACTGGGCGAGAAGACCAACTGCAGGGCTCTGAAGGGCAAGCACTGCAGCTGGCACAGGGACATCAAAATGTTGACTGTGGCCAAGGGTGACACCCCTGCTTCCCGAGCCAAGATCTTCTCAAGACAGGGCATAAACTGCTGCTCCCGGGGCAAGTAGTTGAGTCTCCCAAAGGGCAGGATCAACTTCTGTACCACCTGCAGAGAGAGGCAGCAGCAGCCAGCAGGAAATGTCATCTTTTCTTCCCACCTCAGCCAGGGTCTCCCTATGTCTCTCAAACTCAGAGATCTATCTGCTACTGCCTCTGCAAGGATTAAAGTCACATGTCACCATGCCAAGCTCTCTGGCATGTTTGATAAGCACAACCTGAGTTAGTACCTGCTTTCAAGGCAGAATGGCCTCTATATCAGCATGCACCCCAAGTTCTGCAGCATAAGCAGTCTTGAGCTACATGGCTCAACACCAAAGAAGGGACGTAACTGTTGGGGGGTGGTATGTAGATCTGTAGGAATTAGGCTGTTACGCAACTTTGGAAAGCTTCAGGGCTCTAGACAAACTACTGATGATGGGAGTTGGACAGCCGGACAGCAGAGACAGATGTCCTGGGGCAGAGAACACAGCCTAGCTGGAATGCTTGTTCCAGGAGAAGCCAAACAAGCTAGATAGGGAACTGGGCCTAACCAAGTCACTGAGGACAACTCAGAGAAGCATGGGAGGATGGGAGGCCAGCCCACCTTGCTGTTTAGCTGGTCTTCCTGAACCACCAGGAAATGAGCAATGGCTTCCAAAAGCTGAGGTTCCCGCAACCGGTGCCGGGCCAGGTGCTGAGCCAGATGCACCATTACGTGGGGAGTGAGTTCTTCTGGCCTTGCCTCTGTGAAGAATAGCCTGTCATCCTGTGCCTTCAAGGAAAACGCCTGTGGGCTACATTGCACTCCAGCCCAGGTGGTTTAGCCCAGTGGCTCCATCTCATCCCTTGCCTCCCTTTTGCTTTTAACCCTCGGCACCTGCCAAGCTTCTGATCAGATGCTGACGAGGGTACCGCAGGAAACGGGGGCAGCTCAGGGCCGCTTCCAACCTTTGCCCACCATAAATGGCAGGCTGATGTGGGGAGGGTGGTTTTGGAGGGAGACGGGACCTTCGCTCCTGCTCCAGGGCACGCAGGAGTGGGCTATCGGATGGAAAGCCTGGGAGGGAGAGGGACAAAGAGCACCCTGGTAAGAGAGCTGGGTGTGCTGTCTTGCTGAGTGGAATGAATGAGTCCCCAACTTCCTCTTCATTTCTTGAGTGGGAACATCCACTTATTTCAGTGGAGAGATACAGTAGCATGTGAACATGGCATATCAACTCCGCGTGGGGAAGGCCTTATACAAAAGTCACCTTGTGCCAAGAGTAACCAACTGTGGCTGTGTGGTTTCCTACAAGCACTGTATTAGAAGGAACCTAGTGCCCTGCAGCGTTAGAATGATGCTGTTTGACTTGGACATCCACCGTGGTTACAAGAGAGCAATCAGCAAGTGTGCTTGGAGAGGTACCATTACTGGATGGGAATCTGAAAGTTATCAATGACTTGAGTCTTCAACCGTTCTCTTTCTCTACTCTTCCCTAAGTACCCACACCTTCCGACACCCTCCTCACCAAGTAAGACTGCAAGGTGTAGACACACATGGATGGTGTGAACATCAAAGGAGGGGCAGTTTCGGATGATGAGCTGACTCAAGTCCTGCAGTGTGGCCTGCTCCACAGGAGAGGGCCTAGGCTGAGACAACAAGAGCTGGCCCAGGCGACGAAGTGCCACAGGGTAGTGATGAGCTCGCACCTTGGTGGGATTCTGGCTCAGCCATCGCAGCAGCTCCCCAGGGCTCCGTGCCTGTTCCAGAAGCCGTTGAAGGCCTTGTACAGGGCCTCCTCCAAAAGGCCGGTCCCCGGACTTGCTGGGTCCCAAATAACAGGGCTGTACTGGCGGGATGAGCAGCAGACCAGACAGCCGAGCAGGGGAGGTCTGGGCAGAGAGCAGGATTCGAAGCATGGAGTTGGGTGATGGAGACCCTGAAGGTGGCCCAGAAAACCAGGTGAGGTTTCCTCCAAGGGGGAATATGCTATCTAGTCCTTAACTCACTTCCCCTCCAAAAGGGCCTGAAGTAAAAAACAACCCCGTGTGACTGCTCTTATATTCCTCCCCACCCTGCCCCTCTTCCCCCATTCCTTGCAACAGGTACTCTAATTCTTTAAGTGTGCTCAGTACAGTTCTATTCACATTTCACATGCATATCTCCTTCGATGTTCCGTGCACGCTGACGAGGGCTGGTGTTACCTCATTTCACAGGTGGAGAAACAAGGCCCAGAGCGGCGAAGAGGTTAAGCCCGAGGTCATTCACAGGGTTGGTGGTCGCACCCAGCCTGGGGCCCCGGTGGTCCCGGTGACGCTCCCTGCCGACCACCTCCCCCTCCCGCAGGAGGCGGCGGCGGGGTGGGCGGAACGCGGGCTCTGCAGCGGGACGGTGCTGGGTCCCAGGCTGGACGCTCCCACTTACCAGCTAGCTGTGTGACCTTGGACAAGGCGTGTCTCCGCCTCTCTGCCTAAGCCTACTCACCAGTGAAATGAGAACACAGCGCAACCTCGCAGGGCCCGCGCTGGGCCCGCGTGCGCCGCCAGCCAGGGGCGCAGGGTCGGTGTCCGCGGGAGGGGGGACCCACGCCCTGTCCCGGCCCCCAGGAGGCTAGCAGCCCGCGGCCACCGCTGCTAACAACAGCTCCCGCCCCCCCCCCCCCGAAGGCCGCCCCGCAGGCGCCACCCTACATGACTCCCCGGGCCCCGCGTAGGTCACTCTCTCAGTTGGTTTCGGGGCCCGGGAGCCGGGCTCCCCCTGCGGCCTCCTCATCGGCGGGCCACCGAGTCCGCCATCTTCCCGGCAGCCCCGGGATCACCCCCAGACGCCAATCGCAGCCCAGCGCCAGGCCAGGGAAGACGTGGCTCCCGGCAGGCGCTGCGAGCAGAGGCGTCTCAGGCTCCGCCCCCTATTTCCGGGAAGTGCGCGCTCGCGCAGGGGGCGGAGTCAAAGAGCCTATCCTGGAGCCCATCTGAATGGGGCAAACAGCCCTGGTCCGCTGTCCAGCCCTAGGCAGCTTCCGCACACAGGACCTAGGGCGGGTTCCAGTCTCCCAGGACAAAGGCTCCCCTCCCTCAAGCCCCACACAGACACACTGGGACTGAAAATTTCACAGTTTCTTTAATCTGCACAAATTCCAGGAAGAACTCCGCCCCTCTCAGCTCCCCTTCACCAATCTCCCAGTCCATCCGTTCCCAATTCAGCCATGCAGCTCTTTGGAACTAGACGTATCTGGGACCTCTGGCAGCACACTAAGATGGGCCCAGTGGGGTGGCCCGACTCTGCGCCGGGCCAAGGCAGCGACAGCAAGTGCCTGATCCAGAAGAGGCCACTGTCAGCGAAGTCTGAGGGTCAGCAGCCCCAGGAGATGGCCCAGAGCTATGAAGATCACAGGGAGAAGCCTCCACCAACCCCTGGAGTCCTCTGCGGCGCAAGGCTGGGCTCCAGGGTAGTGGGAAAAGGCAGGCAGCGGTTGAGGTGGGTCTGGGCAGACAGCAGCTCCCTTTGCGCCTTGGGGAGTGAGGTCCAGAGGGGCCGGCTACACTGTCAAAAGCCCGTGGAGGCACTACGGGCGATACATGGCAAAGGCCAGGAGACTGAGGAGCAGGGTGAAGCCGGCCAGTCCTAGAGTGGCGGTCAGGGGAAAGAAGGGCCGGTACTGGATCTGGCAGTACCAGAGCAGTAGCAGCAGCAGCAGCAGCAGGGGTAACAGGAGGCTGCCGATGTCCAGCCCGGAGGGGCCGGGCTCTGACCCCGGTGGGCAGGGGGGGTGTGGGGGACCGACTCTCGTGGACACGTGGCAGTGGAGAACGCAGTTGTGGGGGAGGTGGAGGCTGCCCAGTGTCTGGGTGTCGTCTCCTAGCAGTTGGCCTTGGTAGATGAGTCGAACCTGCTGTTCCCGGCCCGGAAACTGGGTCCTGAGGAGAGAGGGACCTGGGTAAGAGAGCAGGCCTCAGGCAGTCCTGGTCCTTTGCGAAGAGGACCAATTCCAACTTTCACCCCTGCCCTCTACAGACCACCCAGATCCTGGCCTCTGGGCTCTGGGGGGGCGGGGCAGGTTGAAACAGGTTAACAGGTATAGCGTGTAACATGAGGAGACAGTTTTATCAAACAGAAAATATGAAAGAGCATCAGATATCTCTGGTGGCCCTTCTATAGTCACCCACCCCATTTTTAGCATTTTGTTCTTACCCTCTACCCAGCTTACCTTTTCAAGGAGCCAATGGTGTCCTGAGGCCAGGCCCTGGCCACCTGCTCAGAGTCATTGAGAAATTTCAACCGCAGCAGTAGGGGTTCCTGCGGAGTGTCCGGAGGTCTTGTTGCTGTGACCCCTGCGTCAGGCTCTGGCTGTGCAGATGGACCTCTGTGTCTCAGGCTGGGGCTCTCAGCCCCTGGGGCCTCCTCTCTGATGCTGTCAATGGCTGCCATGGCTTCACTGGGCTGTGCTGATGTTGTGGTCCCTGACGGCTGTGGCAGAGGGTCTGTATTCTCCGTGGTATGTGTTGAGACCCAGGCAAGGGCCAGCACCAGAAGGCAGGCAAGCACCGCAAAAAGCACAGTCACCTCATCACCTACCCCTTCAATCAAGGCCATGGCACCTGTGTTGCCAGAGCTGCTACCGAGCTAGAGAGGCACAAAGAACTGGTGAAGGGCTGCTTTCTGGCCAGGAGTCATTCCAAACTTCAACTGTCCCAGTTATCCTGTTTCCTTACCCACTCCAGGATACAGACTGGTCCAGCATCCTGCAGTCCCATATTTGCCTTCTTGTTATTTCCATCACCAGATTCCAAGTCCTAATTTTGCTGTCTGAATTCTATCTAGGTCGTCATTCAGATCCCCAATTCACCCAAACCCTATATCCAAGTTAGGGCCTTGCTCTTCTAAGCAACTCCTCCTAAATTTAACCTTTATCAAACTTTACCCAAAAGCTTACCTATTCTTTGGTCCACTTCATCCCAAAGTTCATTCCTTCACCTATCCACAGTAAAGCTGATGCCCTGTCGTTTAACTTTCTCTTACAGAAGGGTCCCTTATAGCCCCCTGCCCTCCCCTTTACCATCAACCAAAAACCCACTCCCAATATGGGCAGCTTCCCAAAGCTTCCCAGATAACGTCAAACATCAAACTCTGCTCTGGGCCAATCTGGAACCTGGGGAGCTCAGCTGCCCACCCAGCTCTGCCCCTCTTGAGTCCACGCAAGCCCCACCCAGCAGCAGCCCCACTCAGCGCCTCCGGGGGCAGTTTCGCCAAACCTAGAAAGCCTCCAGACCCTTGATCCCTCAGGGAGAACCTAGACTTAGCCCTCCCCACCCCCACGGCTACATCACTCCTCCCATCTTCCCGCCCCCCAGAGCTGCAGGAGGGCACCAGCCATCTCGGGGCGGGGCAATCAGGGACCAGCTGTGGCCTGGGGCGTCCGGGTGGGCGCGGCCACGCACAACGACTCACCGCCTAGCTCGACCAGCTCCATCTCAGCCCCTTGGGTACTTCCGGGCCGAAGGCACCGAGGTCGCCGACACCTGAGGTCCCTCTCCTTCCCCACTGCTGAGGCCAGGGAGCATTGTGGGAATTGTAGTCGGCTCTGTTTAGTTCCCGCCCTCCGCCCTGGGGACCCACGTGCGGGGCTGGACCAGCTTGTTCTCTGTACCCGCAGATCGTCGATGGACCCATGGGGACGACCCTGGGGGTTCTTGTCCACAGAGCTTTGGTCAGCAGCAAGAACCTGCCCCTCCGCCGCTAGCTGCCGGAGCATCAGTCACTCCAGACACCAACGTCAGTCTGCCTCACGTCAGAGCACCGGCCTTGGTGATGCAGTGATGAAGGCTCTGGGGAGCTCAGGTGGCCTCTACTCCAGCTTAGCCTTTTGTCACAGTGGACGTCAGAAAGCAGTTTGGTTTTCTAAATTGACTCAGTAGCCGAGAAGGCGTGGGTTGCCTACCTCACTTGCTGGGGAGAGTGCCTGGCCCTTGCTGTACCCTTTCCTGGCCTCTTCTCCCCTTAGCCCTATGGGATTGTTAAGGTGACATGGACTTTGGAACAGGGCACACATCCTGCGGTCCTACCTAGGCTCATCAGATGCATAATCTCTGGTGGGCTATTAAATCTCTGAACAGGTATAATTCTTCTAGGTCAGTTGCAAGGAAAAAATTGATGTTTTATGAAATAAGTATGACAGCTCTGTAAAGTGTATGTCAGTATTTTGCTCGCCTAGTATTCGTGCATTCTCTTCTAAACTGAGGAACTGGCTGCCTACGGTGGCATATCCCTGTAATCCCAGCACTGGGAGGTGGAGGTGAGAAGATTACCAGTTTGAGACTACCTTTGGCCATCCAGAGAGACCCTGTATTATTCCCCCACACACCCCTCAAAAAAAGTGTTTCTGTGTAGAGGATGTCAAGACGAATCTGCACAGCTAACCTCTCTAGATTTTTCCTTATTCCTCTGACTCCACAGAAATCTTGAATCCTGGATTTTACAGACCAGCTTTTACTCAGGAGTTTGCACTCACATGTGTCTGTGTGTGTGTGATGCATGCATATGAGTGTACACACACACGTACAGGATCTATTTGTCTCTGTCCCCTGTGCTGGGGTTACAGGCATAGGCCGCTGTGCCTGGCTTTTGACATGAATGCCAGGAACTCAAAGTGAAGTCCTCAAGCTTGCAGAGCAAGTTCTTAATTATTATTATTATTTCTTGCAAAGACTTTTGTATTACACTTGCATCAGTGTTTCTCTGAACATATGGAAGTGAACCACATGCATGCCTGGTGCCCCTAGAGGCCAGAAGAAAGCATTTGTACTGTAGTTATATAGGCATTTTTTAGGAGCCATGTAGGTGTTAGGGACTTGAACCAAGGTCCTCTGCAAGAGCAGCAAAAATCGCAACAAGTGCCCTTAACTCCTGTGCTATCTCTCCAGCTCCATCCAGGCCAGCCTTAATCAGAAATAATCTACTCTGGTCTTCTATGATGGTGTTTACTTGTGAGATCAAATATTGCCTTGGGCATGTCAGTTTGGATTCATTAAATACGGAACTAACTTATCTCTAGTTTCTTCATATTTCTTCATGCTATAGTTAAGTATATATGTTCTATATACTAGGTATTGTGCAAGATACTGGACATATAATGCTTTTTCTCTCAAATTCAGGGTCAGGAGCCTTACCAATTGAGCTATCCAAGCCTTCTCATAATGCTCGTCATAATAGAGGAGCAGATATGCAGAGAGACAGTCAGTCAATGAATGCTAAGGCGGGTGTGTGCTGGTGGCTGTGGCAGCACTTTGGAGGAGCTTTCCTCCCTCAATTTCTCTGGGTGATTTTTTTTTTTTTTTTTTTTTTTTTTTTTTTAAAGACAGGGCTTCTCTGTGCATCCGTGGCTGTCCTGGAACTTACTCTGTAGACCAGGCTGGCCTGGAACTCAGAGATCCAACTGCCTCTGCCTCCTAAGTGCTAGGATCAAAGATGTGTGCCACCACCACAGCAAGGATGAATTTCCTGTTGCCAATTCTACCTCAGTAAGTATCTAACAGAGATGCTAGGGGTTTTTTGTTGGTACACTTGTGGTTTTGTTTTGTTTTTCGAGACAGGATTTCTCTATGTAGCCCTGGCTGTCTTAGAACTCTCACTGTAATCCAGGCTGGCCTCGAACTTACAGAGATCTGCTTGCCTCTGCCTGCCCAGTGCTGGGATTCAAAGCATTCACCCCCCCCACCAACTGACCACAGATGCTAGTATTACTTATAAAGTAGAAGAACTATATTTTTTCAATGAGGAAAGCTATCTTTTCTGTTTAACCACTTCATTTTTCAGATTAAGACCAAAATATTCACAAGACATTTCTAAAGTCATAGATAGAAACTCACATCATTCAATAGTTTGAGAGGTTCTAGTGTTGATTAGTTTGCATTTGGGCCTTTGGAAAGTAAGAGAAATGTAGGAAGGGAAAGAGGTATGTTAAAAGTCAAATAATAGACTATTTTATTTAGGGAAAAAGTTCAGGTTGGCCTGAGAAGTAGAAATGAATGTAAAAAAGGATGACATGTGGGCTGGAAAGATGGCTCATCGGTTAAGAGCAGTGGCTGTTCTTGGAGAGGACTTAGGCTCATTTCTCAACACCCGCATGGCAACTCAAAACTATCTGTAACTCTAGCTCCAGAGGATCCCGACCTCCATAGGCATCAGGTACTTGCCTGCACACAATGCACGTATATACACACACAGAACACCCATATACATAAGCTGTGTGTGTGGGGGGGTTCTGTGGAAGAGCATTTTCCTAACATGCTTAATAAGGTCCTGTAGTCCAGCCCTAGGACCAAAGAAAGGGGAGGCATGTATGAATCGTGAATGATCCACTTGGGATAGCATTGATAACCATGTTGATTAATTAAAAGTTTACCATTTTTATTGATGGTCAGACAAGAGCAGACTTGTTTCTCTTTGGTCTCTTAGTGTCCAAGATTAGGTATACAAAGTTAAAAGGCAAAACCCACAAAGGCCATAATTTACATTTAAAAATAGAGGAGGGTCGTAGTGACCTTGAAACATTTATTCATGGCACAGTATAGTACTTATTTCAGTGGTAACATGATGTTTGTTTGTTGTTGTTGTTGTTTCTTTTGGCTTTTTGGAACAGGGTTTCTCTATGTAGCCCCCTGGCTGTCCTGGAACTCGCTCTGTAGACCAGGCTGGCCTTGAAAGTATTCATCTGCTACTTCTGCCTCTTCTGGGATTAAAGGCATACACCTTACCGCTGCCCAGCATTCTTTTGTTTGTTTCTTTGTTTATTTATTTATTTATTTATTTTTAATTTTTTTTTTTCCCTTGACACAGGGTTGGTGATCTTCTAGGCTCTGCCTTCCTAACACTGGGATTTTAGGCATGTATTTATATTAGGCTGGTTCTGTTTTTTGAGACAGTCTCATATACCCAGGCTGGCTTTGAACTCCTAATCCTCCTATCCCACTGCCCCTGTGCTGGAATAATGTGTACATCATAACACCTGGCATCCTCTAGCAGGTTTATTCCACATGGTCACTCCCTGGACATGCCACCTCCTGGAGGTTTGGGAATCTGTATTGAGGATGTGGGTTAACACAGCTGCAGACACCTTTGGTAATGGGAATGCAAAACTACGTTCCTGAAGGGTGCTCTCTGGCCCTAGGAGGGGACACGAAAGACAAGGACAAGAAAACATATGCGACCCATGTGGGTTTTGGTTAGTTTCTTTAATGAACCAATGAACCCTCCTGAGTATGGCAGGGAAGGTCTCTTGGGGTAGGATTGTCACTGGGAGATAAGAATTGGGGCACTGTTGTTTCAAGCATCATTTGCAAGAGGGGCCCTCCGGTGAAACTCTCAGGGAGAACTGGAAATGGGAGCGGAGAACCCGTCCCCGTCTCTGCGGTGTGGCCAGAGTGGAGACCCCGGCAGAGAGCCAGGGAAGAGAACCCCGCATGATCCCTCGGGTGGACCTCGAGGCTTAGGGGACCGAGGAACGGGTGCAGCACTAAAAGAGGTTGGCGCCGTTGGGCCTGGGCGAGCTTCTCGGCCAATCAGCCCCATTTATCAGCACCCTTAGGCGCAGAGAACTGTTCGGAGTGCCTCTAGGATTCCACACAGGGCTGAGAGGTGAAGACGACAGCTGGCCGGACGTGGGAACAGCGCGGTCCCGTCCCCAGGCGGGGAGGCCCTCGGGGCGTCGAGGGTTGGGGCGGGTGAGCGGGCGGAAGAGGGCCTAGGCGGGTGGGTGGGGCCGCGCGTCGCAGACGACAACGCGCGGCTCTTGGGGGTGGAGGCTGCGGCGCCTGCGAGCGAGAGAAGGGCGGGGGCGCAGGGCGACGCGCTGGAGGGGCGGGGGCGGCCGGGAGGGGGGCTCGGCTGCGTGTGCCAGAGCCGGCGGGGGTGGCGGTGCGTGCGCATGACGCGGGGGGCAGGGCCCCGGCCGCGCGCTCCCGGTCCCGTTGTTGTTGCCGCTGGAGGCATCTCCGAGGCGCCGGGATCTCAGCGCCGGTAAACGCCGGGCGGCGGCCACAGCGTGCGCGGCCGCGCCTTCTGGCCTCGGCCCCGGGCCTCATGCGCTAGCCCCGCGCCGCGCGCTTCGTAGTTGGGGTCTCGCCAGCCCCGCGCGCCAGCTCGCCGCCGCCGCGCCGCCCCGGGCCCTGGCTGGGCCCGCTTCGGGCCCCGCGCCTCCGGAGCCATGAACTTCCAGGCGGGCGGGGGCCAGAGTCCTCAGCAGCAGCAGAGCCTGGCTGCTCCGGGGGGCGGCGGCGGCGGCGGCGCGGGGGGCGGCGGGCAGTTCGGCGGCGCGGGGCCGGGAGCCGGGGGTGGTGGCCCCTCGCAGCAGCTGGCCGGCGGGCCCCCCCAGCAGTTCGCGCTCTCCAACTCGGCCGCTATCCGGGCCGAGA